GAAAAAAACCCCAAAATCTACCAAAGATCTTGGAGGAAAAACCTCCAGATGAAACATCCCATAATTCTCAACCCAATATTTTCAGTTAGACAAACCTAATTGGACGTTATCAAGCCTCGTCTAGATGGCACCCAACAAAAAATGATTATGTGTAGTTTGTTAGTGTGTATGAATAGGTTAAAGGTTGAAGATGAAGAGCATTTTTGGTAAGTGTTTATAGTTTCATCAAGTTGAAATGAAGCTTGTATGATGTATTTATAGTTGTAGAAATTTGGTGGCAAAGAGGAAACTTTGGAATTAAAAAAGTTGAGAAAATTTGACCCAAATGACAAGATGCTCCGACCTAAAAAGAGGATGTGCCGACACATAGAGTTGAAAACTTCAGTATGTGTCGACCTAAAATGAGTTATGTGTCGACACATGCAAATAAAGGCTATGGGCTTTAATAATGCAGTACATGTGTCGGTCTTAAAAGCGAATGTGTTGACACATAGAGTTAAAAACTTCAGTATGTGCCGACCTAAAATGAGTTATGTGCCGACACATGAAAACATAGGCTACAACCTTTAATATTGAAGTACATGTGTCGGCCTGAAAATTGTATGTGTCGATACATGCAAGTGATTTTTATGCAGAAACAAAATTTTCTTGATTTTGGCCAATTTCAAACTTGATTTGAATGCTTCCTAAAACTTTTAATGTAAGGGTACACCAAACGCCACAGAGATATCCTCCAATATACAAAAATGTTAAGTTTTTATAGTTTTGACATCATGCAAAACATCTAATGGTGAAGTTGCACTCATATGTCTAAATTGTGTAAAGCTTTAAAAAAGACAGAGGAGACAGATACATATTATTTGATTGATCGACTAATCCATCTTATCTTAATTCTTTCAATTTCCACGGCTACTATAGAAAGATCATTCTTAGAAATAAAGATAATCAAGACAAGATTGCACAATAAGATGAGGATGAATTTCTTGTTGATAATATGATGCTTTACATTGAAAAAAAATAGTTGACCACTTTAGCTCTGATTTAATTATTGATGAATTCAAGTCTTTAAAAGAGCGGAAGGTAGTACTTTAATTCGAGGTTGAATATCTCCTTTTATATACTCTATTTTTATTTTGTGTTGAAGTTATTTTCAATATTCATAAAAAATGTATTTGAATTTTATAATATTTTAGTAAATTGAAATTATAATATTTTACATAATACTTGTCGTTCCCCCTAATATTTTAGGCAAAATCCTCCACTAGCAAGGTGGTGATTATTGCAGCAGTAATCAACATCATAAATTTCATTTGAAATGTTAGGAATAAAGCTAGATTTCATAGAATTTTCACTCATTAGAAATCAACCTATAACTTTATTATGTCGCATATAACTTTTGTAGGAAACTTCCAAATGTACTAACTGTTTTATACAGGACTTTGTGTTTTTAAAAAAGTTTAATGTTATGGCTCATCCTCCCTACCCGCAAGTTTATAAATAAATTTTGTGGCCCCTTCTTTCCTTGATTTGATAAAAGTTAACACTGCTGGAGAATTGGGTGGCATCTCATTGAAGGAAGCTTGTGGTGGAATCTTCAAGGACAACAAGGGCGACCGTTTAGGTATCTTTGCATGCAATCTCGGTCAAGAAAAATCAAGTTTCTTGAGCTTATAGGGGAATTTTTTATATGGAGCATACCATAAGTCGAAATTGGAATAGGTTGTGGCTTGAAATGGACTCCAAGCTTGTAGTGCTCATTTTCAATAAACCATTTATGGTGTCTTTGAAACTAAAGAATATATGGCCCAATTGTATTTAAGCGCGCTGCAACATTTTAATTTTCCGACAACACATATTTATATAAAAAGAAATTATTGTGCAGATAAACTCACTAACTTAGATTTATATGTTAGTGACTATATGTGGTGAAATGGTATACTTCCTATGATAGTTTTGAATTTCAATAGACACAAACTAGGTCTTTCTAATTTTAAAATTTGTTAGGTTTGAGATTTTACCTTTAGTTCCCCTCATTTTCTATCTTCTTTTTCTGTAATACTATGAGTATATAGTTAATATTAGGCAAAATATATATTTTTAAAGTGAATTAAAAAAATGCAACGGTTGAATGTTTGATTTTGTACCTTCATTCGAGGCTTCAAATCATGAATTATTTTTTATTTTATTTAAATGTATTTATTATTTTTAAAAAGTGCAAAAATATTATATTAAGGTTTGAATCCATATTCTAAGTATATTAGTCAACTATCTTTTATGAAAAAATATATTATATTATTAAATATGGTATTTTCTAATTTATAAAAAGATATATTATTAAATTTGTTTTATAATAATGTATTTAAATTTTCTTTATTATATTATTAAATTTGCCTTATATATAAGATAAAATTATAATATGCAAATCATATTTATGTATGAAATTATAACTTTATTTGGACAATTATAAACTTACTTTATAATAATATATAAATTACTAAACACAATTATGTCGTCTTATATTTATATATATATATATATATATATATATATATATATATATATATATATATATATATATATATATATATATAATATATATATATATATATATATATATATATATATATATATATATATATATATATATAATATATATATATATGATTCAACAAAATTTTTGTTAAAAACCTAACAAATTGAACCAATTCAATCTGTATTGATTTAGTTTAGTTTGGTTCAGTTTCATTTTTAAAAGTCAACTAAATCAAATCATCTGTACATTTTATCTTGCGGTTCAGATGATTTTAATTTTAAAAGTATTCCA